TGCCAAGCGGACGCCGACGTAAAACAAGACAAAGAGGGCTATCGCGCCAGCGACGGCCGAGAGTGCCGTGAGTTCAAACCCGAGGAGCAAAAAGTTGAGGAAGAGCATAAGGGGTGCGACGGGGACCCACGCGCCGTTGAGGAATGCGAGAAAAATGCGGTCCGAGTCGACCGAGGCGAGAGTGATGAGGTCGCCGGCCGACGTGGCTTTGGCGTTCGCGAGCTTGAGGCTCTTGAGATACACTGCGTCCATGACGATCGTCTTGGCGTTGCAGCCGAGCATCGACATGAAACCTTGTGCAAAGTCGACGAGGCTCATGCTCGCGAGGCTGAGGAGCGTGAGCAGTGCTGCGAGGGCGTAGCCTGACTCGATGCCGACGTCGGTTCGCGCAGAGCCATCGTCGTTGGCGAGAAACTGTAGCATCGACTTGACCACCCGAGGTTGGAGCAGTGTCAAGAGCGCGTACACCATGTAGGCGCTGACGCAGAGCAGCGTCTGCGTGCGGAAGGTGGCGAAAATCGCAGCGCCAAAGCGACCAGGCGTTGCCTTCCACGCCTGCTGAAAGCGCGCCATGAGTGCTGGGGCCGAGTCGGCGGCACCGAGTGGCCACACGTCGTTGTGTTCGAGCGGCTTCTTGGCCGCAGACCGCACGAGGCCGTCCATATAGCTAAACGAGACGAAGGACCACCAGCTTGCTCGCTCAATCGGGTGCACCGCGCTGTCCTTCTTTAGTGTCTCCACTTGCGGCGACTCGAGACCGTGGTAGAGCATGCTGCGCGACTTGGCAAATTGAAAAGTGATTGTGTGTCACACGCACGATGGACCGCATGTTGCTTAAAGCGCGTTGTCACCAGAGCACGTCGTCGCAAGGGCATACCATCCTCCTGTCCCTTGGTCGTCGAGTCGACCTCTCGTGAGTCACGTTCGACGAGTGCAAGCGCAGTACATTGGTGCCAATGTGATGGAGGTACTAGCTGCACCGGCCCTTGGGCATCGACTCGCGATCGACGTCTGAGACCCCGACGTCATGGGTATGGCATGTCTATCACCGCTCATGTACAGTGCTGCTCTGTTGTCTGCGGAAACGAGCTGTTTCCAGCGAGACCGCACGATGAACAGCCGGTTTCTTGTCGGTCGATGATTCTCAGGCGTCGAGCCTTTTGGAGCGAAGCAACAACGACCGACGGTTCCTCGCTCCTTCCGCAACACTCAGAACCTGGTGGTCTTATTGTCTTTGCAACGTCGTCGAGTATTACGTGTATTACTGTCTAGATGGGAATCCCACGAACGTACACCCAAGTCCCACGATCCAGCGCATTTGAAACCGATGGACGGTCCACCAGCTAAAACAGATGTTTTGAATCTTGTCACCAGAGCGATCAATAGTAGACCAGAACGGCAAAGAGGTCGATAGCTGCACTTGCATTGGCTTTGTGAAGGTGACGCCTTTGGCAGGTGGTAGACGCTAGCACACCAGCATGACCTGACTCCAGCTGAAGGAATTAAGGAGTGAACCATATGTGTCTTGGCTGTCCAGCTTCTCGACGATCGAACGTTGTCGCCTGGGTGGTGTCGCTTGAGAGCGGTGTCGACGCAGCCACCATCGACGCGCCGATGCTCGTTCGGTTCAAGTGCGACACCCTCACGTTCGGGTCCGCTCATATTTCACAAATGAGTCCTGCACGGCTGCCCACGCGGTGTCCAAAATTCGGAGGTACCCAATCTCACAAGAGCTGAATAACGAGTACATTGTACTAGAGGTATTGTGGATTCTGGGAAATCTTCTAAGAATCTGTTATTCATACTGAGAGTTTTTCAAAAACCATCGAAAAAGCCAACGGAAACCCCTTTTTTACAACTGAACAACCAAATGCAATGCCCGATAATCAAATTCAGATCCTATCGATTTAGGCCGACAATTGTGCCTGTTTGGCCAGCTGCGCAAACGCACCCGCTTCGTTAGCGAGGAGTTCGCTTGGGGGGCCGTACTCGGCCACATGACCGTCGGCCATCACCAGAATCTGGTCGCTGTCCAGAATCGTGTCCAGACGGTGCGCAATCACAAGCAAGGTCACGTCCTGACCAAAGCACTCCTTGATGGTCTCTTGGATGAGCCGGTCCGACGCCAAGTCGATGCTGGCGGTAGCTTCGTCCAGCAAGACGACGCGGCTCTTGCGCAACAAGGCGCGCGCGATGCAGAGCAG